CTTGGATGTGAGGACGCCTTTTGCTTGCCAAGAACCGCATGTACTTATGAGTGCACCACAACAACAATAACAACAATTTGCTTAAATACGACTCATGCAATATGTGTTGACAATTCTCCTCACGATCTGCGTCGCTTTCGCTATATTTAAAAGGTAGCTCTATTGGTCACCAGCTAATGCAAAAACAACAACAACAGCAACGCATTCTTTTTATTGCACCTTCGGAGTGGGCCCTGTCTTCAAGCTTGGCATCTGTCGAAACCTTAGTTTCTGTCAAATTTTACAAATAATGTATTTGTGCAAATGTATGTAACAGACAGAAGCAAGCATCTCCGACCCCATAAAGTATATATATTTTTGACCAACTTCAATAGCCCAGTCGATCTAGCTATGTCCGTCTGTCTGTCTGTCAGTCCGTCTGTCTGTCTATATGTATGGACGCAATGATCTCAGAACCTAAGAGAATCTTATAAGAGCTCGAGGCTTGAGCTGAATGTCCTCCTAGTCCATGCGCATATCGAGTTTGTTTCCGATAATCGATATCGAAATCCTGCTTTTGAAATCCAATTTTGGTAAATAAAAGGAGCTAGAGTTATGAAACTTGACATGTAGCTTTTATAACTATCCCCGCTAGCGCCCCAAAGCTATAAGTCAAGATAAGAAACCAATTTACTCTGCCCACTTATATATAAAAAAGCACCAAAAGATGTACTGTAGAAAATTTAGGGGAATGATGCTTATGGGTAATATACAATCGGTATCATTCTAAGCTTTGGAGATATAGTCAATACATTTGTTACAAATGTTAAAAATACAAGGTTTAAGGTTTGTTTTTTTAAATTATGACGCATTGTTGGGCATTTTCGGTACAGTTCTGGCTATGGTCTGTGGTACTGCTCATATTGGCTGAGAAGGCTTACATGCGAAGTACTGGAAAATGCGACTACGCAAAAGGCTATGAACTCCATCATGTTTGCAACAGTTTTGTCAGCGAAGAATTGATGTTCCGTTGGAGTGACCCACAAGCAAGTCAGGGTGTTGAATATTCGTTTTGGCAATCTCGCCCCGATCAGCCAGGCCGCTATGTGATTCTTGTGTCATTCCATCCTTCAGAACTTGCGAATGTCGATGTTATAACTGTCGAGCCGAAAAGCTATAAGATAAAAGGAAAAAAAGAGGGAGCAAATAAGTTTGAATATGTGCCCTTTGCTTATTCGGATATGCACTGTTTTAATTACAGTCTACGATATTTTAATGATTTGAGAGCAACGTGCACAAAGAAGTCTTTTAAACTGGACGAAGAGCCTATAAGATATGGAATATTACATTATGCCGAGGTCATAAAGTCTAGAAAACCAGTTAGAACTCGTAGAAGTGCTTCTGTAAAATATACAATTAATCTGATTGTAATCCTATACGAGTTGTTAATAGTATCCCTTCGAAATATATATTAATTTGTGTCTTGCCGGATCTGACTACGATATCAAATAGCTGGCACAGAAACGATCGGTCGAAAATTAAGCTGTTGTATTAAAAACATTTTTGCTTATCAAGACATCTTACCCACCCTCCGCATTTATTAGTTTTACTATGCTCCTCATATATGCAAAATCCTATTTAAATCGGACCACTATATAATATAGTTGCCATAGGAATGATCGGTCTAAAATTAAGTTGTATGAAACATTTTATTGTTTTTACGATATCTTGACCAAGCTCGGCATATATTAGATTAACAATGCTCATATATATGCAAAATCCTATATATATCGGACCACGATATCATATATCTGGCATCGTTGTTGTATGGAAAACTTTTTGTCATTCAAGATATTTTGAATCAAACCAGCATTTAAAAATTTCACTATTTATTTTTGCAAAATATTTCCATAGAATTAATATATCATATATCTGCCATAGAAACGATCGGTCGAAAACTAGGTATTTAACTAAAAAACTTTTTATGTACAAATTTTATGTATTGACCAAACTCGGCATTAACTATTTTACTGCGCTTCTTAGATACGAGGAAAATACTATGAGCATTATGAAATGGTTGGGTCTACAAGAGTATTAGATCTTTGGCGTGCCGAAGATAGCCCTCCTATCTCGTTTGTCTTCATATTAACACTCAATGATTGGTGTGGCTGATGAATAGAGGCTGCAGAAAGTAGTGTGGTCTGTTGCGAGTTCAAGACTTATCGAGGAGCCACTTTTTTTTCTGTTTAATTTAGTTTTATTACTGACGACTAGAGCCTCTGTAATTAATTTTGTCTTATGACAATGCGCGTTATCCCCCTGGTATATTAAGTTCTCTCCGATCAAATTGAATCCCAGAAGGGAAAGCGTAATTAGTCAAAACACGTAAATATTTATTTCTATTCAGCTATCCGTGAACCATCGATAGAAACTAAGTTTCCTATTCCATTATCAGCAACACATCCCAAAACATTACCGATCCACTAAATATATATCAATATATTTTTTGACAAGTTCAAGGCGTTTGATCTAATTTGTCATTTTAATTTGAGGAAGAGATTTGGTTGTAAAGGTGCCAGAATCAGCTTCAGTTGAATGTCTTTGATTTATTTTCACTGATATTAATGTTTGTATAGTTAGAAAGGTCCGTGGCAACAGTTATGAATTTCTGACGGATTATTCTTAAATTGCCGTAGAATAAAACGAGAACAGAATTCTGTTGTCTTGCGCAGTCTGCCACAGCCTCCACGTCGAAGAGCGCAGACGTGTAATTGTTTAATTTAGTTGAATTTAGTTTAATTTATGTTTATGTGCCCTGTTTTTTTTTATACCCTGAACCCATTAAAAATGTGTATAAGGGTATATTGTGTTTGTGCGAAATCCAAATATATGTAACAGGCAGAAGGAAGCATGTCCGACCCCATAAAGTATATATATTCTTGATCAGCATCAATAGCCGAGTCGATCTAGCCATGTCCCTCTGTCTGTCCGTCCGTCCGTTCGTCCGTCCGTCCGTCCGTATGTATGAACGCAAGGATCTCAGAACCTACAAGAGCTACAGACTTGAAATTTTAGATGTAGGTGCTCCTAGTTCCCGCGCAGATCGAGTTTATTTCCAATAGAGGGTATAAAAATGAAAAACATAGCTCATAGTTTTGTCAACATATTTATGCCGCCTACGTTAAATCAGCTCCCCAGCACCTCACAAGTCTCTACTGATAAGAAGTGTTCAGTTTACATAAAGCAGCAAAAATAATCGTATTTGTATTTATCTTAATTAGTGAAACGATGTTTATGGGTAACATACAATCACAGTTATGGGTAACATACAATCATCATCTCTTTAGGCTTTGAAGGTATAGTCAATATATTTGGTATGAATTCTAAAAATACAATGCCTAGATATTCGAATAAAATTATGACACAGTGTTGGGCGTTTTTGGTGCAGTCGTGGCTATGGTTGGGAGTACTGCACATATTCGCTCAGAAGGTTACCATAAGAAATACTGGAAAATGCGACTACACAAAAGACCTTGAACTCTATTTTGTTTGCAGGAGTTCGGTGACCCAAGAATTGTACTACCGTTGGGCAGATAAACGTGCGCCGCAGGGTGTTGAATATTCGGTTTGGCAAACTCCTTCGAATCAGCCAGGACCATATGTAATTCTGGTGTCATTCCACGCTTCAGAACTTGCTAAAGTCAATATAATTACTGTTGAGCCGAAAAGATATAAGATAAAAGGAAAAAAATTGAAAGAAACTGAATTTGAATACGTGCAGTTTACTCATTCGGACATGCACTGCTTTAATATTAGTCTACGATATTTTAATGACTTAAGAGCAACTTGCACAAACAAGAAATATAATCCAGATGAAGAAGCCATAAAAAATGGAATATTGCATTATGCCCGATTAAAAAGTAAAAAGCATAGTGCCTCGGCAAAAAATACAATTAATCTGATTGTTTTCCTACCCGCGTTGTTAATAGTGCCCGTCCATTCAAAATATGTATTAATGTGTATATAAATTTTGTATTTCATTTAAGAATAAATTTAAAATTATTCAATGGAATTGCCATTTTCTATAAAAACAAAATAAGCGACATCTCCGACACAATATAAAATATATATATTCTTAATCAGCGTCAACCGCAGAGTCGATATGCCGTATTTATGGTGTAGGCAGTACATATGTTGGAGCCGGCCGGATCGGACCACTGTATCCTATATGCTTTCCAAAAAAATTTTTTGCGGCAAAAAATTTGAGGATCGTGACGCCGCAGTGTTGTTGCATACATATAGTATGTTGAAGGAAAATAATGGATCGTTTATGTTTTAATTAAAATAGGAGATTCGCCCATACCAATAATTTGAAAATTTCACCCCTAAACATTTAACAATATTAGTCAAACCGATTATTATGATAGTCGCAAAGTAAGGCAAAGTAAGACAAGTTACCTTCTATAATTCATCATCTGTATTATTTTGAGTGTCTCGCTAATCAATGAGTAGTTTTGTAAGGAAAACTATGGACTCCACTGTATGCCCCATCTTTTTATACTCTGAAACCATTAAAAATGGGTAAAAGTGGTATTATATATTTGTTAAAATGTATGTATGTTAGCAGGCCGACTGCCGTATCTCCGACCCAATAAAGTATATATATATTCCTGATCAGCACCGATAGCCAAGTCGATCTAGCAAGCAAAATTTATTATATATATGATATATGCCGACAAGTCACCCACACTCACATCGACTTAACGTTTTGCTCCTTCCAATTTGCACCCTTCGCCGAATGAAAATTTTTTAATGACCTATGTGGCAGCGATCATTTTCCTATTCTAATATCCTTATTCCAAAATACAAAAATTGAAAAAGCCCCTTTTAACCGTCTTTGTCAACCCATTTCACAGGTGAACATTTTTTGTTCACTATTTTTACGTCAAATTGAGAATTAACTCAAATCAAATAACTACTATGTACTTGATAAATATTACTCTATTCCTCTTTGTGTGTAACATCAAAACTACATTTATTAATACACACACACACAGACATGAAAATTAGTTTGAGGCCGAGAAGTTTTATGCTGTCGTTCTTCGTAACTTTTCCACACTTGCCGGTGGAGTTCCCAAAAGCTTCTTCATATCTTGCATTTTTATCAATACGCTGTGCTTTCAGGACAGTTTAATTGAGATTAAGTATGTAAATATATTTTTATTTATCTAATTAAGTGCAACGATGTTTTGTTACCCATACATACAATCAGTATCATTCTCAGCCTTGAAGCTATAGTCAATATAATAGGTACACATTTTAAAAATACAAAATTCAAATTTTTTAATTAAAGTTATGACGCGCTGTTTGGCATTTTTGGTACAGTCCTGGCTTTGGTTAGTGGTACTTCCCATATTAGCTGAGAAGCCTTACATACGAAGTACCGGAAATTGCGACTACGCAAAAGACCTTAAGCTGAATTTGGTTTGCCATAGTTCGGTTACCGACAATTTGGCGTGCCGTTGGCGTGATTCATTGGCGCCGAAGTATACTAAATATTCGGTTTGGCAAACTCCTCCCAATCAGCCAGGACTCTATGTAATTTTGGTGTCATTCCATTCAGATTCAGAACTATCGATAGCCAATGAAATTTCTATAGATCCACAAAAATATATGATAAAAGGAAAGAAATCCACAGAAACTGAGTTTGAATATGTGCCCTTTACTCATACGGAAATGCACTGCTTTAAGTACAGTCTACGATATTTTAATGATTTAAGAGCAACTTGCACAAACAAGACTTTCAAACTGGACGAAAAAGCTATAAGATATGGAATATTACATTATGCCAAATCAATAGAGTCTATAATTGCAGAACGACTTGGAACTCGTAGAAGTAACTCTGTAAAATATACAACTAATCTGATTGGAATTCTACCTGAGTTGTTAATAGTGTCCTTTCGAGATATGTACAAATTTGTATCTTAAATTTTTAGTTAATTTATTAATAAATTTGAAATCATTACCGACATAAAATATAGGCATTCTTAATCAGCATTAACAGCAGAGACGATAAAGCTGTGGTCGTATTTTAGTTGTAAGTATATGTTGGAACCGGTCGGATCGTACTATTATATTATATAGCTGCCATAGGAACGATCGTTCGAAAATTATATTCGTTGATCATAACCAAACTGGATGTTTAGTCTCTTAACTATATTTTAATTAATGAGCAAATTTCTTATCAATATCGCATCAAAATATATATATATATATATATATATATATATCCAGCAAGACGCCCAGATATTATAGCTCTATCAGAAAAATTGGTCGATAAATGGGTCAGAAATCTGCAAAGCCAAAAAGAAAATGTCCACAAGAGTATTAATTGTTCGGTATGCTGATGATAGGAGTACTTTTCGCTTATAGATATGAATAGTTCTTGTATACTTATATTAAGGGAAAATAATAGATTGTGTTTTAATTAAAGCAGTGAATTGTCCAGATAGATAGAGTGCAAGAGAGCAACTAAGAGCAAGAGTTTGCGCGGAAATGAAGGTTATTAGATTTCCAATTCATTTTGTTAATATAGCTCTGTTCGTACATTCAAACAAGTGAAGTACTCTGATTGCTCATTTGGATCATTTTAAGTAGTTTTGTAGGGAAAACTATGGACTCTACTGTATGGCCCATCTTCTGGCCATTTATTTGATGGGCAATTATGAAATAATGGGGCAGAGTTTTGGGTGTGCGTTCATTACTGGCAGCAGCCAATTACTTCCAGTCGTTTCCTACATTACTTTATCTGCTTTCGTATTCAAGTGTGAAGTACCGGCAAACGAACACGCAATTTAAATGAGGAAAACCGCCCTGCCCTCTACTCGCCTACAGTTGCCAAGCAGCTTCAAGCGGCAAATGAGTTTTTCGACTGCTTTTTGCCATGCTCATCTATGTGGTAGCATGTGTGAAGGTGTGTGTGTGTGCGTCTGAATGTGTGTAGCTTTCGCTCACGCCCATGCCAACCGCACACCTTTAATCAGCATCTGCTGCTCACATCTTCAAGTTGCCACAAAATGCTTTATTGCATTTTGTTGTGTTATATTACCCCTGTGTGCCCACCAGACAGAAGGAGCAGCAGCAGCAGCTGCCATTGCTTGGCTGTCAGTCTGTGTCGGCTCCAGGTCCCGGCTGTGGTCCTGCCAGCGAGCCCCCAATATATAAAAACCCGGACCCTGTCATGGCTCCCCTAGTCTGTGCCAAAGTGGCAGAGGCAGCACAAATGTCCTTTTCTTGTGCCACCCCACTTGTGCCACACCGCCATTCTTCTGCTTCTCACCAGAACTCAGCTCAGCTCAGCTCAGTCGAGTTCGAGCTCAGCCCGTTGGTGTATGTTTTCCCGTTTTCTGTTTTCTTTTATTTTCATTTTGCTGCGTTTTCTTTTGGCATTTTTCGAAATTAGTTTTTGCTCTGTGCGAGTTGAGTTGACTCGAGTCGAGTCGGTTTTAATATATAGCATCCCATACATATTTATAGAGCTGCGGCACATTCATCTTCAGACCGTTCGCCACCCGCTGCCGCTCCCTTTCCGCCACCCAATCCTTAGAGCGTGTGAGCGTGCGCGGAGCGGAGGCGCTCACCCACTTAAGTTGGCATAAAGTAGGAAAAATGGTTGTTATTCTCAGCCAAGAGCAACATCATCAGCATCGTTTTCTCATCTGAACCCACCTCAAAGTGAATACCTAAAACTTAACAAAAAATTGCTCACTAATTTCTACTGCGTATGTGTGTGTGTGAGTGTGAGTGAGTGTGTGTGGGCAGAAAAGTGTGCTGGCTACTTAAAAACTCAACCTGGCCACATCTGGTGCCGAATTTCATATCAAGCCCCAAATCCGCTGGGCAAACTCAGCCTACTTTCTACTTCCCAGCCCAACACAATTGGCAGCTAAATTACAATGGCATGAATTCAGCATTTCAACTTGAAAAAAATACCCCCGACCAAAACTTAAAAAAATAATTTGTTAAATCTGCTAAAAATTATGTACTGTCTAGCTATTATAGAATTTTTCAACTTGTGAAAAACGTCGGTAAGAATAAATATAAATATAAATTTATATATTAATAAAGTTTATTTAACATAGAAATATAACTTTAATTAAATAACGCACATAAGCAATACAAATAAATAAGTATTATACATATAATAACACTTCAATATATAAATTGATCAACTTAAAATTTACTTCACAGAAATTCGCATATTGCCAACTGTGTCAGTGCGTTTGTCCTAGTTGTTGTTGTTTTGCAAATGCCTAAATGTCATGGAGTTTTATACAATTTTCACTACACACAACAACAACAGCAAGTTTTAAGTCAGAAGAAGACGACTTGGAAGAAGACTTGGAATTTAGATGAGGGTAAGAAATAATTCATTCGCTCGTTGCGACGCAGCTCAGAAGCAGAGTCTCAGCTTGGGAAGGCGGGTGGAGAACGGGCCTGGGCGATAATTCTTCCCTTACTATATATATATGTATATATACACCTAATATCCTTTTTTCGCACTTTTGTATGGGTTTGCTGTAGCCCAGCCCTCCTTCCCTCCACCACCCCACACCACCACTGCTGGAGTGATGCGCACGCAATTTGCTTGGTAAGAAGCAGAACCAAAAAGCAGCAGCAGGCGGGAAAAGTAGCAACAAGAAGAACAAATAAAACATTTTATATAATCTTAGGAAATATATCACACTTAGCGCGCTCGCGAAACTCCCCTTCCACCCCCTCCCTACCGTCACTTAGTTGGGCCCCCGTCCCTCAAGCATCTGCCCATCTTCTGGCAGGCATCTCTCCATCTTCATCTACATGCACAGTGTGAAGCGCTACTGCGAGTCCGAATCCAAATGCGATGCGTTGTTTTTGTTTTTTCTTTTTTCCTCCACCGTCTTGCTTTCGTTCTTGGCCATTGTCTGCTCGTCCAGCTGTCGTTTCGTCCTTCGTCCTCTTCCAGCAGGCACCATCTTGCGCGTTGCTCTGTCGCTGGCGGTTGCCATTGATGGTGGTGGTAGTGGTGCTGCTGATGCTGGTGGTGTTGGTGGTGGGTGTTTTTCGTCTTGGCTACGTGCGAGAAAAATACCCTCGAACATATTAAATTGGGAATGCTGAAAATGCTTTATGGCTTTTCAGTTAGATTTATTTCCATTTTGTATGTTTTATTTATTTATATTCGACTTTGCCCGTTCTCTTGATACTCCTACTACTACTACTACACACACAAACACACACACACACACAGCACACTCGAAAACACACAAATATATATATTTGCTACCCTTACCTACTCTTTCGGCCTGAGGGATGAGTTTTGTGTTTTGGGCTCGTTTTCAGTTTCGGTTTCAGATGCGCCAAATACACGTTGTTGTTATTGTTGTTTTTTTTTGTGTTATGGCTGTTGTTGTTGCTTTTGTTGTTGTCGTTGTTTTTGTTGTTGTTGAAGAATGATAGCGAAACTAATCGAAAAATAATTGGATGTTGCCACTGCCGTTGCCAGCCACGTTCTGCCTTTCTTTTGCTTTATGTTTCTATTTTCTTTTTTCGCCACTTGCATTGAATTCCCCAATGCATCGTAATGTTTAAACAATTTAAAGCCAGCAGCAGTTGGTTTTTGTTTTGACAGCATCAGCTGCCAAATGGACTCCACACTTCCTTCTTTCAACTCTCAAATGAAGGCATCCTCGAATGGACTTGACAAATAAATGTTACTAAAAATATATATAAATTATTATACTATGTAAAATATAAGGAGTCGTTGGCCTTATTTTTAAACTCTTGGCCGATTTCATTCCCGATATCGGTACTGCGGACATATTGTGCTTCTAGGCATATGAATTTTTGCCCTAACATTGCAAAACTTTTAAGAAAAATCGATGTTGCTATGTTAAATATTCCGATGCATTAGAATATCGTTTTTCCATCACAATTTTTTAAAAAATTTATATATCAGTCATGGACGATTTTTTTGAACGGCCTTTACAGCTATATGCTACATTTGATAAGCATTTAATTCAATAGCGACGGCAGTAAAACGTTTAAGAATGCAGCGCAAAGCAAAATAGAAAACTTTAAGAACGAAACGTCTCTGCTTTGACTATATAGAACAGATTATATAAATAATAATAATGGGTTTCCCCGCAATTAACAGAGCTCTGCTGCAAACAACAAGCTTGTGTACATCGATTAAGCACGCGGACATGGAAATCGCAGATATTGCTAAAAGAAAAAAAAATTAAAATCAAATTTATCTTGTCCGATGTCCAGCAGAGAATTTATGCATTAAGTGCAGCGGCGACATCACTAACCCCATTCCAGGACCCATTCACATTCTGATGCTGGATCTCTGTTTAATTGAAACGAAGCAGCGCAATGCGGACATAAACACTGAACCAGAACAGAATAGAACACGCAGCTCGGGCTCTGGCTAGGGGTCTGGGTTAGGTTCTGGTTAGGGCTCGCCTGCTGGCAGCAATGCCCAACATAATCATGTCCTGGTGCTGCTGCTGCTACTACTGGCCTCCGTTCACTGTCTCTGTCAGCAAACACAAAGGAGCGCACGGAACGCGCTGGACACCAAATTAATTTGGAAGACAAAATGCTCCAATGCAAGTAGCCAAAATGCGCGCGAGCACCATTAGCGTTGACCAGGG